CTCAATGACTTGGTGCTCATCAAGGAAGATAACACTCCACCATTATGTTAGAAACTTGGACAAGTAATTGAACCATCTCCAGGAACCGATGGTCTGGTTTGAGTAGCTAAGGTGAAAACAGCCAATGCTGAACTGCAACGCCCTGCTGTGAAGTTATGTTCACTCCCATTGAGTTCTTAAACTTTCTGTAATTGTGAGCTGTAAAATTCCTTGAACATGTTTTGATCTAGTAGATCAACGTGGGAAGGATGTTTGGACCAGCAGACGATATTTTATTTTTCTTTAAGTAAAAACAATCGAGAAGGCACTCCTCTCGTCATGCACCTTTTTACAAAAATGGCTGTTAACATTCGTTAGACCAATGTGCTTTTGCTATGTGCCTGGATCTTGGTTTTGTGTTATTTTGGGGCTGTACCCTGTATCTATGTATTACTTTGTCCAACTTTATTTTGTGAATCAACAAAATAAATTCACCAGCTATTGCTGGAGATGTTTGCTGTGTTAATTTATAGTCCGCTTTGTAATTAGACACGCAACAGTGTCTTTTTGCTGAAAGTTTTTGGAATCCATATTGCAGAAAATTGTTCAGCTCCAAGTGACCCCACACACCACGGGGCCCAATGAGGAAATGCCATCACATGGGGGATTCCCACAGACCGTCACACCAGAGTTTCCCAGGAGCTATACCCTCACGACGCAGTCAAGAAGAGCACATCTTGTTTGACGTGACAAAACTGTCAAGCAGGGATGCATCTGCCCAATCTGCATCAATCAGTTGACTCCAAGCCAAGGTTTAGCCAGTCAATTGACTCAAGTGGAGCCTGATTTGTACCTCCCATTTATTCAAAGAAAAGTCCAAAGCACTGTTACGTTGTCCCTCAACTGCCGGATCCACCTTTCCGGCATGCAGGTCATCACGCATGGCAAACACATGGGTGGGCATTCAGATACAACCCACATGGTATCTGAATGCTCACTCACAATGGTAAAGCAATGTTACTAAACCATCTCTGGGAAATCTCCTCAACATGGACACAAATTCACATCAAGGGGAGCCAATGTTTATATACAATGATAGCATTAATATCCATGTAAGTCTCAAAAAATAAAGCACCCAGACCAGAGAAATTATCTCAGATTGTCAAGGGCATCAGAACCATTCAACCTAACCTCCTCCTCAATGTCTATAATACGTGTTTGAAAAATGAATATTTCCCAAAACTCTTGGAAGAAACCTCGACTGGCTCTGATACCAAAAAGTGAACAGCCACTTAGTGTTTCATACATGCACCTCATCTCCCTCTTGCTTACACTTGATAAAATGTTAGACAAGCTTATGTCTACACCAATTTATTCATTTTGGGAATCAAAGCTTCTTCACCATGCACAATATGTATTTCAACAACAGTGGGGGATTATTGATGGATTTGACAATGTATTAAATAGCTGCTTCAACACGTCTGTTTTTGGACTGAGTTTACACCTCTAAAAACACATTCAATTCCACATGGTGGCTGCTGATACTTTGTAGATTGAGCAATGCACATTGTCCGGCAAACCGCTTCTGTCTTGCCCAAAACTTTCTATCAACCCAAGACACAACAATTAATTAACTCTGGATATTTCTTTGTCTTGGTTCAGATGTATGACAATAAATTTAAAAAAAAAAAAACAACTTTATCATAGAACAAATGTAATTAGGACAATATGAATAATAATTTATAACTTGTCCTATATTGCATTCTTTTTTACATGTTCTAAATATTAAACAATCATTTTGTCTTCTTATATTAATTAAGATGTAAGTAATTTATTGAATTGAAAGAAGAAATTAATTAATATGACTATTTTATTTGTTTCTTCTAAGTTTTCTGTGTCTTTAAATATTTCTTCATCATGCAATGTTAATAATGCATATCATCATTAATTTTATTTATCTCTATCAATTGGCTTCATAACTATTTTTTGTCATCTTTAAACCAATCACACTGCCCACGTTAATTCAACTGCTTGCATATAAAATTTTCCATCACCATCTTGAAAAGTTACCAAATAAAAATTTTACAAAAATTCTATTTCACATTCTTCTCTTTTTAATGCTTCATAAATCATCTCTTGTTATTGATAAATAAATCAAAGCAATAACTAGTCCTATAAATTTCAACTGTTTTATTATCATCTTACTTAATACATTAATTAACTTATCTGTATTTTATAATTCACCTTGCATAAAAAGTCAGGAAAGTGAAAGGATAAAAACAAATTTTATCATAAAAACATGAAAATTTTAAAACTTATATAATTTAAATAGATCAGTAATTTTAATAAATTAAAATATAAAAAAAGGTTGAGTGTTATTTTTAATAATTTAATATTCTATCTTTGTTTCTAATTATGATACCATGTTTTCCAACATTTGCTGTTATCTGTTTCCAATTGATAGTTTTCATTTTAGTATCTTTCTGTTTTTGTTCCTTTCTACTGTAATTTTAATCTTGTGGTTAAAGACCTTAGAAATTCATATAGCTGACAGGTATAAAAATTTTATCAACTCAGATTGTATTCCAGTATCACAAGCCTGGAATTATTATTTAGACTGCCACAGAAATTATTATTATTAAAATTGCTTATTTATTGATGATGTAAACGATGCATCACTGTCTCAATTGAACATCTTTTTGGAGGTTAAAGAATTGGAACACAGTAATGTTTGAATGATACATCTGTTTTTGTATTATTTCCTGACAAGGGCCAATAAATTGTGGCTGAAAATGTTTAACCAGTAAATCGTTAGTTCTTGTTTTCTGTAAATTGCATTTAGGTGTTTTTTCTTTGAATACTACAGTTACAGTTTATACATGTGTCATTTTTGTTTTTGTTTTATCTTGACTTATTCAACTACATACTTCAAAAAGTAATAATCTAATTGTAAATGAAAACAAAATAAAATTTCTTTGTATTGTTAATAAGAATAACAATTGTAATCTAGATTTGCTTCGTTTCCAAATTAACAATAAAAGAATCAAAAGAATAAATAACATAAGATATCTCATAATTATAATTGACTATAAACTCCAACAGCACATACACATAAATAACCTTTCCACAGCTTTTGCTAAAATTACAGGTGTCACTAAAAGAATTATCCACTTTCTTCATTCAACTATTATCCAAAAATTATACACATGTACAAAATCAAAAATAAGAGTGTTACAATTTGGTGAATGGGACCCAAGACAGTAATTAACAGACTTCAAGTTATGCAAAATAATCACATAAGAACTACATATTGGTTGCATTGTACAGAACCAGTCTCTCTCATATATACAGTAGAGCGTCGTTTATCCGAAAGCTGGTTATCCGAAACGTCCGTTATCCGAAAGCATTCCAGTCGGCAAATTTAAATTTTCGCTAGTGCTGTGGCGCTGCAATCTTCGGCTATTTCTCAGGCTACTCAAATATTTTACGTTTTTGATACTAAATTAACATCTGAAGTATAATTTTTTATTGTTTTTATATTTTTCAATATATTTATTTTGTTTGTACAAAATAAAAAAATAATTTTTAACGATACAATAGTCTTCGTTAGGCTTAACATCGACGAAAATTCAACGCGAAGCGACACGCAATGGAGAGAAATTTCAACATGGGATAAATTAATATATTTTTTCGTACATGATTCGTTATCCGAAAAATAAGTTATCCGAACCACCCCAGTCCCCAATTGATTCGGATAAACGACGCTCTACTGTAAAAATAAAATTGACATCAAAACTGTTTAAAAATCACATACTACTGGATAGTAATAAAAATCATTTCTGCAATGAATAAATAATTTATCTCAGTAATCTGTTAAAAAAGTATTATAGACCATCTCACTATAAATCTAACTGGACACCATTAACCTCTCAACTGCGCATCTCAAGAATCTGAAAGTACACCGTTGTTGCTCGATATTTGTTGGTTTTTATAGTAATTTTTAATTTGCAATATTGTGCTTAAAAATTGCTGTAGATCTGAGCTGTTTTTTATTTTTTATTACGCGCATATCACACTTTACGATTGTTAACTTTAAAATATTATGTATGTTATAAAAAATTAATAAAATGTAACATTTTTAAATATTAAAAAAAATTCGTTTTTTATAAATATTTTATTAATTTATTATATATGTTACTTAGATATGTCTATATTCTGTCAAATAAAAAAACTGTAGCATTCTAACTTTATTTAAAGTGATAATACGACTTATAATATATAACGCACATTGTTTGGGGGGAGTATATCCATTTTCTAAATTTAGGTCAACAACTGTTTCTGCTTGGGGGCGTGGTGACTTCTTGAAAATCTAGATCAGAACGTTTTTCGCTACATATATTATATATTATTCAGTATTTAGATATTATTTTAGCAAAACAGACATTTCCTACATTTATTCATTGATAAAAATATAGTATAAAACTATAATAAAATAAAATACTGCGATAAATAGAAAGCAATATACACATTAGTATATATGATATATATTGACATTTTATTTACTTATAGATGACTTTGAAGACAATTTTAAGTATCTATATGAAACATTTTATTTTCAAGTGTAATTACTAATAAAAACCTCCAATAAAGTTCTGAGTATTTGTACTAAACATAGGATACAATTGCAATTACTAATTGAAACGTCCATCAAAAGTAAGCATCTATACAACACCTTCGGTGCAATAGTAGTTACTAATAAAAACCTCCAATAAAGTTTTGAGTATTTGTACTAAACATATGATACAATTGCAATTAGTAATTGAAACGTCCATCAAAATTAAGCATCTATACAGAACATTTGGTGCAATAGTAATTACTCACAGTTGAAATTTTAATTTACTGTGCAAAACATTTCTGCTTACCAATCGTGTAGCTCATTTATGCACTTTACTTCAAATAGGTAACACGTATAAATTTAGTTCTGAATTTTTGCTGTGAAGTTCTTAGTGAATTTCTTTAATATGCCGAAAAGAAAGATAGATGATTCAGAGATCGATTTAGATCTTTTAAATTATGTTTCTTCTGACGAGTCTCTTCGTAATTCAGACTCAGATGATTTTAGTCCTTCAGAATGGAGTGCATCTGATTCTGACTCAGAATCAGATTCTGTATTGCATACTGGTCCCAGCACATCATCAGGAACAACATCTATCACATCATCTTGGACGACATCAAGCACTCAAAGCAGAGAGGAATTCGATTTCACCGGAGATGAAGGCATCAAAATTCCAGTGAACAATCCAGAAGAAATTTTAGAAATCTTTGAGTGCATCGCAAATGAAGATATCATTAATCACATCACTGCAGAGACGAACAAACATGCAGAAGAAGTAATATTGCAGGCAACACAAAAAGGGATGAAAAAAAGAAGCAGAATGAATGACTGGCAAAGTACAACTGCGAACGAAATCCGGCTACTTCAAGGTATTTTTCTTTTGATGAGTATTGTAAAAAAACCTGATTTACAGTCGTACTATTGTAGAAAGCCGCTTTTAAATACGCCAATATTTTACGAAACAATGACAAAAGACAGGTTTATCTTGTTATTTAAATTTTTACATTTTTCTAGTAGTAATGATAAAACGGATAAACTGTATAAGATTAGAGACTTGTTAAATTTATATAGAAATAGTTTTAAGAGCGTGTACGCACCGTCTAAAAGAATATCTATAGACGAAAGTCTTCTTTTGTGGAAGGGTCGGCTAGGATGGAGAATATATGTTCCGCTCGAGAGAGCTAGATTTGGAATAGAGTGTTTCTTTCTTTGTGAAACCAAAACAGGATACATTTATAGTTTCGCAATGTACACAGGGAAGGGAACACAATTTCCCATAACCCTGACTGATGTCGATCCATCAAAACAATGCCACTCAACAAATATTGTCCTCTCCCTTATGGAAGATTTATTAGATAAAGGTTATCATTTGGGAGTGGACAATTATTATAGTAGTGTATACTTATTCGAGTATTTAGTACGTCATTCAACAGATGTTACTGGTACTGTAAGAAAAACAAGGAAAGAGTTGCCACAGGACGTTATACTAAGTAAATTAAAAAAAGGAGAGACATCAGTCAGGTACAAGGATAAACTGATGATGATAAAGTGGAAAGACACGAAAGTGTCTTTCCACTTTTGAACTTAGGGGGGCGTCATACGTTGAACTCTTTGTAATGAGTTCAACGTATGACGCTACTATGAGAACTATAAAAACAAAAAAAAAGACTAATAAACAAAAACCAAGTGTGTGCATTGAGTACAAATATCATATAGGAGGCGTAGATCTGATGGATCAAATTACGTCAACTACCCCCAGTACATGTACTCGTCTTAGAAAGTACTATAAAAAAATATATTTGAGATTTTTGGATTTATGTGTACTCAATGCACACATTATCCATAGAAAATTAGGTGGTAAATTAACTTTAAAAAATTTCAAATTAAAATTAATAGAGAACATTTTCACAAAATATGGTGAAAATACAGTCACTTCAAACAGCATCAGGAGATGCAGCCTATCTTCTCCTAGCCGACTCACTGGACGCCACTTCATAGGAGAAACTGAAATTGTAGGAAACAGAAATAAAAGAAATAATTGTGTTGTGTGTTCTGCGAGAAAAAAAAGGACGCAAATAAAATATTTTTGTAAGCAGTGTAATGTTTTTTTGTGCCCTGCAAATTGTTTCGAAATCTATCATACGAAGCAAACCTTAGTGTGATAGAGATCACTGTACATTTAAAAAACTGTAAATATTGCAAATATTTGTTGAAAATTTTTGTATTTTTGTATATATTTTTTCTATTACCTTTTATCTCTCTACTATTTGAAAACTAAAATTGAAAAAATTACTATGAATGTTGTTTTTTAAAAATGTAAACAAAGCACATCTACTATTTCCACCCTTACTTGTACATAATATTTCTGTAAAAAACTAAAAATGACTTCAAGAAGAAACAAGATGTAACGGTATTTTTACTTTTATTTATTTTTTAATCTTTCCTTTCAATTAACGTAGAAATTAGCCAACAACTTTATATGGCAATTTCATAAACGATTGTTTTTACATTATCTCTTATAAGGTAAAATAGATATAGCTACTTATATAAATTTCAAATTATAAAAAAAAACAAAAATAATTTTTTTATAAACATCTGATTATAGTTATATACATTACTTAGATATGTCTATATTCGTTAAAACAAAAAAATTGCAGCATTCTAAATTCATGTAAAGCGATATTACGACTAATAATATATAACGAAGTTTGGCTTTTGAGGGGGTGGTGGCTACAAAATCTAGGTCAAGCGCCATTCTGCTAGGGGGCGTGGTCTTAACCGGAAGTACTTCGTTTTTTAGAAAAATTTACAACTTAATGATTTTAAAAACACTAATATTCGTTAAATAAGACAAATATATGTAAGATTTTATAAAATTCAAGCTAAAAATTAAATAACTTTATTGATTTATGATTGATTGTTTATGTTTGTAGTTGACAATGTAGCTCCAACAAAAATAACTTTTTCCAAGAAAGTTCCCACCCTACAAACCAAAGTCGATGCTTATTCGTTAAACCATAGTCATTTAGCAACAATATACCAATTAGAGTTCAACAGGCTTGTAAACAAAAATTTTATTGTCCAATGAACGAAAAAAGAGTCTCCCATAGACTTAACATGGAAAGGAGGAGTTTTGTGAGTAAATTTAAAAATACGGGGTGGTAACAAACATCTTATTCGTTGAAACAGACTTAGTCTATGTAGATAAATGACAATCAGTGCTTAAATCGCGACAAACTAGTTAATTACGAAAAAAAATTGACACTTACTCCAATTGGAGTACTACGCAACAGTTTAACTAAAACTGGTTACTCCAATGGGAGTACAGCACAACTGACTGGTTAGGCAACTTAATAGGAAGATCTGCTCCATTCTATCAATTGATTTATCACTGGAATAATTTTGGTATGAAGTTTTAGAATTATTAAATGCCATAAAACACACTTCATTTTTTATAATATGCAAAATTTGTTGGATTTGTTTATTTTTAAATGTCTAATCTTTTGTTTGAATGTATCCCATGCATTTGTAAAATTGTAAAATATTATATGTAACTACAGTAGAGCATCGATTATCCAAAACAATTCGAAACTGGGGTTTTCGGATAACTGTTTTTTCGATAAAATAGGATATGTTAATATATTTTTTCATACATGATCATGTATGAAAAAATATATTAACCTATCCCATGTTGAAATTCATTCAAATCCAGGCACATTCTTAAGTAACATCTCATGGTCGTGCATGCTGCCAGCTAAAACACGCACAACAATAATAATATTGGAGTAGCCCAAGACATAGCCAAATACTGCAGCGCCACAGCATTAGCAGAAATTTGAATTTGTTGACTGGAACGCTTTCGGTTAACCGATGTTTCAATTGATCAGTATTCGGATAATGCTCTACTGTAATTTTTATTTATTTTACTATCTGTCTACATTTTGTATTTATTTATTTCAGTCTGTTTTGTTGACACTTCAAAAAGGCCCAAACTAGTCATAATGTCTTTAATTAATAAAACTTGATTTGATTTGCAGTTAAATTTAAAAAAAAAAATATAACTTACCAGTTAGTATAAGATATAATCCAGGAGGCTTGAAAAACAAGAACCAATGCCTCAAAAATAACATGTTTCACTTGAATTAGGATAAAGCTCTTGAAAGCATGGCCTCTTTTAGGGATATGGCTATAAAGAAAAAAAAAAAGAGTTTAAGTAAAAATAAAAGCAAAATTCATCTTAGTCTTTTTTTAAATAATTTTCTCAAATTTTTATAATCTGGACACAAGTTCAAAAACTTTCTAGCAGTATTTCTCAAAGAGCAGTACTTCCTTGTACATTCAAACACACACAAAATAACTAAAGCACAAGGACTATATTTAATTCTGATTACCATATTTTATTTTTATATTTTTGTCACTGTATTGTCACTAAAATTACATAGATCATTATCAAGTTCACTCTCAAGCTAGCAAATAGCTAATTAATGATTGATTAAAATAATTTAGCTGAAATGCATGCTATCAATCTTCAGTCTGTGTTGAACTTAAAATATTTAACAAATGTAAATTACAGTCGACCCCCCTATAACGTATGTTCCTATAACAACAATTCCTATAACGTAGCAAAAAAATTGTAGAAACTTTCGTATAAAGTACCTCCTATAACGTCGTTTTGCGACAAGATTGATAGAGTCTGGACCAATAGTGGATGAGCAGCCAAACTACTAACCTCCGACCCTGCGCCACGCTACGAAGCGGCTAAATTAAGTTTGCTATCGTCTGTTTAGTATTATATATAAATTATATATAAATTAGGTACTGTACATATAATTATATATTAATTATATATAAATTAGGTACTGTATATATAATTATATATTAACTTAATTTATTGTAACTTTATTATAATTATATATATGCTTTCTGCCGCCTGGCAACACGCTACGGAGATTTTAGGCTAGTAAGTTGAGTTTATTATCGTCTGTACAGTATGTAAATTAGGTACCGTAAGTCTAATACAGCACTAATTTTATACATTTCTTGTGAAAGAAACACTTCTTATTCAACGGCCATAAAAATTATTTATATTAATGATGTCTCCAAAGGTCAAGTTATTTTTCTGCCAAAAATTCGTTATCAGAAATTGCGGCCGTCGTTTCGTGTGCTGTTCCGCGATGAAAACCAGCTTTAAGCAACGGCGTAGTCGAACGGTACACACTCGGTAAGTAATCCTATAATTTTTTGTTTATAGCATAGTTTATACAGATTATTCCCAAAAAATTATACGTATTTTGGAAATGTTGAGTCGAATTAGTCTAGAATCGGTTAATTTTATAGAAGAAAACCTTTCGAACAGCCTTAGTCCGTAAAATTCCCACCTATCGGGCTGCGATTGGCTCATGTATTTAATCGTTCCTACTACGTAAAATTCGATTAGCGTGGAACGTATCTAAGCGTTATAGGGGGGGTCTACTGTACTATGCTTATTACACAAATGTAAATTATTATTTCAATAAACACTCTGACTCCTAAAATAAACTGACACAAGCAGTATATTAAATAGGTCAGTCAGATGCACCAGAGGTTTAAAATGTAAAGCTCTGCATGAGCTCATCCAACTGGAGGATCAAATATATTTGCAGGACTCTATCATGATGGATGTTAACCTGGGTGTTACCAAATTAACAGACAAATTGTAACTGAATTTAAAGAAGAAATATAGGAGAAAGTTAGATTGGATAGGTGCCGAGCAAATAATGAAGATTAAAAAGGAAAAGTCGGGTCTCATATATAATGTGCGACCAGATCAGTATTTCACCAGATACTGAAAGAGTCCTAAAAAGAAGGAAAAAAAAAAAGGCCCCAGCTATGACCTTCATAACACTACAGACTGGCAAAACAGAATAGCAGAAATGGAAAGTGGCCTCAGAGGTCTGGAAGAAATAGACAAGGACTACTTCGGGTGGAAGACAGCCCTTAGAAGTGAGGGGCACAAAACGCAACAGATAAAAATGAAACAAATTAAACACACAAGACATTGGTTAGCAGACAACGGGTTAATATTAACAAGAGTGGACAAAAGCAAACATTTAGTAATAATGAGTAAACAACGTTACACAAGGACTCTGAAAGAGTATATAGTAAAGACTGAATGTGAAAGAGTGGATCACACCATAGTGGATAAATTGGACAGGAAGGTCAAAGAATTGGAGATCACCCATTACCACTATATTTCCATTTCTCAAAGGAACCAGTATCACAGGCCCAGGTGTACCTAGACTGTTTGGATATGCAAAAATGTACAAGAGTAACAAGGAGATGAGATCTGTAGAAGAAGTGTAAAGGACCAACATATAAACTTGAAAAGTGCCTCCATGGATATTTATCAGAACGCATAGAAAATAACCATTCTGTCATGAGGAACCCACTAAGCTTAGTTAATGAACTCAAAACGTACGTTTAATGGATGATGAGATTGGTACAGTACAGTCATGAACTTTGAAAATCTATATCTGTCAATAAAACTAGATGCGTGTTATCACGCCTTAACGGACTCCTTATGCATGTTAAACCCAGGCATGACGGCATACCTGGAAGATATGAAGATGCTTGCTGACTTGGTATGTTTCCAGTCGTTATTTAGCTTTGAAGGAAAAATATATAAACAAAGAAAAGGTGTGCCCATGGGCAGCTCGATGTCCAGGTTACTTTGTGAATTGGTTCTACATAAGTTAGAACAATTTACAGTTAAGAATTTTAAAAATGAAATAATATTATACAAAAGATACATAGACGATATATTCATTTTATGAAGGAACGACAGAAGAATACAGCATTTTTTGAATGGGATACATTTCAATGAGGATGGCTTGAAACTAAAATTAGAGCAAATTAGTAGAACAGAAGTGCATTTTCTGGATATCAACATTACATTTAAAAACGGATCCTTAACTACTAAGGTATAGATTAAATCTACGCATGAACCATTGTATATTCCTTCATCCAATGATCCGCCTACTTACAAACCGTCAGCATTTAGAGCTCTTATTAGAAGGGCATTTAGTTACTGTTAGTTACTGCTCTAACATTTACGACAGGTGACAAGAATTAGGTAGGATCAAAACCATTGCTGGATCCTTAGGATTTAAAACTGAAATCGTTGAAAAATTAATAAGATCCTACTTGGTACCTAATAGAAAGAACACAAAAAAGAATACGAACAAGGAAATTACTAAATTCACATATAGCTAAGCAATGTCCAGTATCATGAAGGAATTAGCCAACTACAAAAGGTACAAAACTAGTACAGTAGAGCGTCGATTATCCGAAAGTCAATCATCCGAAACATCAATTATCCGAAAGAATTCCAGTTGGCAAATTTAAATTTTCACCAGTGCTGTGGCGCTGCAATCTTTGGCTATGCCTTGGGCTACTCAAATATTTTACATTTCTGATACTAAATTAACTTCTGAAGTATAATTTATTGTTTTTATATTTTTCAATATATTAATTTTGTTTGTACAAAATAAAAAAATAATTTTTAACAATACAATAGTCTTCGTTAGGCTTAACATCAACGAAAATTCAACGCAAAGCGACATGCAACGGAGAAAAATTGCAACATCGGATACGTTAAACTATTTTTTCGTACATAATCAGTTGTCCGAAATATCAGTTATTCAAACAACACCAGTCCCCAATTGATTCGGATAATCAACGCTCTACCGTATATGTAAACGAGCTCCCACAATTTACAGTCTACTTAGAAACGACAAGGACAGGATAAATAAGGATGAGCAGTCTGAAGTGTATAGATTACCATACAAATGATCAACTAGGGCTAAATAAAGAATATATTGGTGTTACCACCAGGACATTGAGTAAAACACTTAAGGAACATGTATATGATATAGGTAAAGGGCACTACAATACAGCACTATCTAAGGTAGCACAGACAAGACTTCAGTGATTGATTGGAATGAAGCTAAGATTATTAGACAAGTGCACTCACCATCTTTGGCAATGACTTTGGAGAAATTTGATATATATAGATTCGGCAGTACGGGCAGATGTTTGAACTATAGAGATGCCACAAATTTACCGACAGCATGGAAATATATGATTGATCATAACCCAGAATAATATGGTATTCAGTGTGCACTCGGTCCATATAATTAGGTTTATTGATATATTTTATTTACTTTATTTTATTTCATATTATTTTATGTTATTTTTATTTAATTGGATCCATGTATTCATTTATTTTCAATTTAACTTTTGTATATTTGTATTTAAACGAATTGTTCGAACAGATGTAGAAATTTGAATTTTGTTTTGCATAATGTTTGAACTGGAACCAATACAAGAAAACGTTCCAAATACTTCAAAACTTTCAAAAATACCTGAAGATGACCTGTAGAGAAGGTAGAAAACATTAGTAAGATAATAAATATTAATTCTTGGATACATAAGGTGCTTGTGTCAGTATATGTAAGTTATTAACTTAAAATATTTAAAATGTGAATTAAATAAAAATATTTAAGTTTGTAGACATACAAATATAAACATCCATAAGCCCAGCATAAGGCCAAATGGTTGTCGAACTAGATCTGATTTTATTACTGCTACTATTAACCTTCTAAATTAATTTCATTTTAATTATTAAATTTAATAAGAGAGGGCACCTATTACTACGGTGACCATACGTCCTTTATTTAAGAGGACAGTCCTTTATTTCACTGCTCTGTCCTCTAACTTTATTTATTTTATAAAATAGGCATTTTGTCCTTTATTTTGTAAATTCAATGCAAAGTTTAAAAACTTTTTTAATAATATATTGAACAACTTAGTTTCGTGTACGCCATCGTGATCAGTGTTGTCATCATGTCCATACGTTGCTACATAGAGTGCGGTAGTGCAGTGTATCGTCAACCCAACAGCCCTTTGACAGTACCAAGGGGCAGACACTCTTATGAGGATTTTTGTGATAGTTTTTTAACTTTCTGGTTGGTGGATGATACACTTGGAGCGTTGGTGAGCATTCGTCGACACTTGTCGACAATCTTCGGGGGCTCGAGCACGTGACATATTTACTGTTAATGTGCTAAATAATTGGGACATGTGTTTTATTGAAATAGAGGTGTTTGAATGGGTCACATTACTCAAAATCCCTTTGTGGGTGAA